ATGCTGACTCTTTGACACTATGTCAAACTGCTTTAAGTGACTCTGCAATGCATTTGTAATCATACTCTCCAAAACCTTTCCAACAACTGATGTAAGACTAACTGGTCTATAATTGACTGGACAATGTTTGTCATCTCCTTTAAATATTGGACTAACATTAGCCAACTTCCAATATTCCAATACTCTTCCACAACTCAATGACCTATAAAAATATTAGCTAGTAGTTCACAAAAATAATCTTTAAGTTCCTTTAAAACTCAAGAATAAAAGTTGTCTGGTCCAGGGGATTTATGAATTTTTAAGTTCCGATGTTTTCTATTACAAGTTTAGAACATAAAATGATATCTTTTACATCAATATTTTCCCCATTCATTAAGTGCTCTGGTTGAGGCATAATACTTGTATCTTCCTTCATAAAAACTGAAGAGAACATATAATTTAATAAGTTTACCATCTCATAATCTTCCAAGATCATCTCCCCAGTATCATTTTTAAAAGGCTCAATCCCCATCCTAACATTTTGTTTACCCATCATATACCTAAAGAATTCCTTGTTGTTTGATTTAACTCTCTCAACCAACCCTCTTTCATATACAGTTTCTGCCCTTTTATCTTTCTTTTTAACCAGCTCTCTCCAAGTCCTTATTATTTCCAGTAAGTTTAAATATCTTGAATTTATTATGTTTATCCCTAATATGATTGCTTAAACCTTTAATAAACTATACTGGCTTATTTTGCTCTGTTGCACCCTTTTTTTTCTATAGGTAATATGTATGTTCTGTATGCATATTAATTTTTCTTAAATGCTTCCCACATCTGTTCAAGATCCCCTCCAAACCCTTTAGTACAATCTACAAAAGCCAGCTCATGTCTCATTCCATCCAAATTGGCTTTCCTGGAATTTGGAATCAGGGTACTATTCATCTTCAATTCTGTGTGTAGTAAAATCCCAAACCTTGTAGTGCAATGGTCACCAACCACAATTCTGTCTATCATATTCACATCAGATGCTAATATTAAGTCTAATATAGTTTCCTCTCTTGTAGGTTCCATCAGCAGTTGGAAACTTACTAAACTCAGTGATATCCATAATATCAAAATCCTCAGTTTCCACAAGTTTTATGCCTGTTGTACACGTTTTCCTATCAATTATATTTCCTATTTTATTAATATCGTAGCCCTCACCTCTGTCTAGCCCTATTTAAATCTAACACTACAGCTGAGTTAATAGCCCTTGCTAACATGCTAGCCCCTGCCTTGTATAAGTGTAAGTCATCCATTCCAAAAAGATTAACTTTCCCATTAGAATTATCCCACAAATCAAACCAGACTATTTGCTCATCCATACATACTGATCTAAGTCTGGAATTCAATCTTAGTGACCTACTTAGTATCTCATCCTGACAATTTATTCTTGGCAATATCCCTGACAAAATCAAGCTATGACCCCTTTTCTTAAATGCCATTATCAATGTTTTATACTTATCAATAAGCTCCTCAGATCCATCTTTCCTTACATCATTAGCCCCAACATCTACCACAAAAACTGCATTAGTACTAGCACCCTTAACTATCTCTCTGGTTCTATCAGTTATATCCTGTACCCCTGCTCCTGGATAACATAAGCATATTATTTTGCTCCTATTTACTCCACATACTATGTCTACATGCTTAGCTACAGAGTCACCTACAACTGTAACTTCCCTATCCTTTACACTATCATCCCTTGTGATCCCATCTGTTTCCCTTACCTGCACCCCCTGATCACTAGCAAGTGCTTGGAACTGGTTGCTTAACCTAAGCCCTAGCACATCCTTGGCCCTAAATGCATTATTTTCCAAGCTTTTAACCCTATTTTCTTTCTTAGCTCCCTTGAATGTACTAATTATTAAATGACAGGTAGCTGTATATCATCTTGAATTTCATGTGTTCTTATAAAGCATAACTTCATATATGTATTTGTCAAATTACCAACTTGTTTACACACTGTTCAGTGAAGACAAGGTCCACGTATTACATCATATTGAACTGACCAGAAAACAGGATGAAATCACTTATTTTCTAAGAAAAATAAATCTAAAACTCCAGCAGTAATTGGTGGGATTACTTGCAATATTAATCATAATTTTATTTATTTTTTTGTGACATATTTTTTTCTAAGGGCTCAACAGACATGGACCCACAAGCAAGTTGTTGTATAAATATTTTAGAAAAATTTGCTTATAAATCTGATGGGGTCCATATGGATCCCAGTGGTAATTTTTGAGTTAATTTTGCATTGAAGGATTTGTGCAGAGCTAATGAAAACAACAATTGTAGTAGTGAGAGAAACCCTTGTGAAAATAACATTATGACATTTTAAAACTTTCTATATATTATATATATTTATATACACATGTATATTGTTTTGTTTTTAATTTGGTTTTTATTTTCCAAATTGTTTTTTCCAGATGAAGTGAAGGCAGCATATAAAATGAAAGCATTTCAGTGTCAATCAGATAAAGTAAGTGTATAGTAAAGTATATATATATAAATGATAGTAAATTTTATTAATTTTTGTGCTTCAGGGCTGTAAGTGCAGTGTCATCCAGACATGAGGTATACAGCTTTGGGAGTATTTGTACTTGTATTCAAATAATTTGATATGGAAAATTAAAGTATTTGTATTCATATTCAATTTTCAATAGCATAGTATTTGTATTTGCTAAATGATTTAGTGAATACTTAATGTTGTAAATGTTGACTTTTGTACTAATCAAATTTCTAGACTGTCATTATTACATCCACAGCATGTTAATTTCTCTACAGAAAACAATGATATACGTCATTTGATAGATAAAGATCTTGGTTTTTTATTGGTTATAAGTAATATAGTACTGAATTGAACTATTGACAAATCCTGAAAGAGAGAGGGTGTGATAGATGGACATGGCAAAAGGGGTCTGATTTTCTATTTGATGGCTATGTAACCAAACAAAATTGAAAGCTATGAAAATTATGTATTGCCTGAGTGATGAAAACATTATAATGAGTAATTTACTTTAAACTTTGTAATTCTTGCAGGGGTGGTAAATAAATAAGAGAAGAGGGAATGCCTAGAGAAAAAAAAAAGTCACATTCCTCACACTAAGGAAAATTCAGAATTTTTTAAATATTGCTTAAAACTTATGTACTATTAAAAAATGATTATTATCTATGATTTTATGCTATAGTAATTAGTATAACATGAACAAAACATAGTTTAATTAAATTTTGAATGTAACTTACTAAAAACATCATGATATCTGCAGTAAAGGATGTCTGTGGTGAGAGGGTTAAATCAGGTCAATACTCTCCAATCACCTTAAAAGGTATTGTATTACATGGCTATTAATCCATTCAAGTCACTTGAAAGAATTTGAGATGGCTACTAAATAGCCTTTAATGGTACATGAACACTTTATACTTCCTTCTGCTAAATCTGGTCACATCAAGTCGAAGTGTAAATATTTTGAGCAGATTATTTCTGCTTCATGAAAAACCACCTCTAACCTGCTGACACACCTGAAGGTAAGCCTTTTTATTATTTTTTTTATATATGAGCTATATTCTATGTAAATTTAGCAATATAATATAGGTAAACTAAATTTCTCATGCATTTTAAACTATATTCTATAACTGATATATTTATTTATTATTATATGTTTTTGATTATTTTTATTATAAACAATATTGTATATTATATAACTGTGAAACACTTTTGTATTTCTAGCGTAATCATGAGGCAGAGCTACAGAAGTTTACATCTGGTTCTGGTACTTCCACCTAGGTGCAGCATCTAAATATAAGTCTACACACCCTCGAAGCTATCACTAACAAACTTGTCAATTTTATTGCCAGTACACTGAACCCCTTCTCTGGTGGAGTCAAAAGATTTTCAACATCACTGGTCATTTTATACTTGACTGGAAAATGCAAACAGTCATGCTGGCATGTCGACATTTCAGGGGGGTCACACATCTGGTAACATTGCAGCTCAATATGATGAAATAATAAATCTGTCTAACATCAACAATAAGGTGTCATGTGACAGCTGATAATGCATCCAACATGATCAAGGCTTTCTGCTTGCCTGAATTTGAACCACAAACACTACTTAGTGTGGTAGATGTTGACAGCTCATATATAGATAGTGACTCAGAAGATGAACTTTTGGATGAATCTAAATCAGCAGAAAATGTATCCGAGTTTTTTCATGAACATGACCCCTGCTTCTCCCACATGCTACAGCTTGTGATCAGGGATGGCATGCAAAAAGCTGGACCACTGCTAAAAGTAATTTCCAAAGCATCAGTCATTGTGTCCTACATTCGAAAATCAATGCAAGCAACTGAGCTACTTGAGGGAGAGGCCAAAGTTCATTTGGTAACACCAACAAAATGGAACTCGGAAATTCAGATGATTAAATTTTTATTGAAGATTCCATGGAAGAAGTTGGATAATCTAGATACTGGTACATCAAAACATACTTTACATGATTGAACCTTGCTAGCAGAGTTGGTTACAAAACTGACACCTTCTGAAGAGGCAACAGATTCCACCAGGGTCAGAATATTGATACCTCCAGTTATGTAGTACCATATGTTTATGGACTGGTGACTGAGATTGACAGCATGCAGTCCAGATATAATGTCAATCTTCTCTCTGCACTGAAGAAATTTGTTTACACCAGGCTGACTCAGTATGAATAACGAAGTGTTTTCTGCTTGGCTATGTTATTGCATCTCAAATTTAAACTTGACTGGTATTTCACTAGACCTATAGTCTATGAATCCAATCAAATGCTCTTGCAGCAAAAAGTCAAGAAAGTTTCCTCAAAAAATAATCCTACAACTAGGAAACCAAAAAAAAAGAAGTGTAAATCTCCACTCACAAAAGAAGTAAGCTCTTCAGTTTCCTTACTACCTCTAAGAAAACAGCCACTCTTCTTCAGAGGATAGAGAGATGGATGGTTTCTTGGATATTGTTGTGATATTGTTATATGCAAATATGAATGTTTCACAGTCTCCTAGTGCTGCTAGCTTCCTTTATACTTACTATTCAATTATCACCCCCTTCATTTGGCACTTGTATTCAGATGTAATTTTTCTGCTCACTTGAGATTTCATAATATGCCTTGTCCTTCTCTTATACCTTGACTTATAATTTGACTGAAGTCCCTTTTTTTGAATTGCCAAACTCTGGAGTCTCTTCTTCAAGGTGGGGGTTTGTATACGTTATCTTCTGTACATCTCTCTTGGGCCCAATTTTCACACCTTTACCTTACCATTTCCACCATTTTGCAGTGTCTTTCTTTCATCCATCTTCTTTCAGATACAATCCACTGTTCTCCTGAGGATTTTTTCGCAAATACTCGTTCCCTTCTTTTTTCAGTATTGGCACATTCTTTTTTCCTTGGCCTTGTCACTTGGTACTCTGTTTCTGGGATTTGTTAGGGAGGGATGCCTTTCTAGCCCAGGTACGTTTACCTCCCTCTTATCTCGGGCATCTTCATCTGGCTCCTTTCCTCCACTAAGGGTTTTTTAGTAGGGTTCCTGTTTCTTTGGAATCACAACAGTCTAATCTGTGACTATCCTTTTAGCTTGGGAACAGAGGGGGGCACCTTTGTCTCCATTTGTTGATCTGTGGATAACCTCGTCTCCTGTTATTGTTCCTTTCTCTCGCCCTTCTCAGGGATTTTATTCCTGTCTGTGTGTCCTTTCCAAAAAAAACCAGATATTGGCATCTGGATTACCATGGAGAGTTTTATCACCCTCCGGTGGTCACTTTCTCCAGGGCTTTGGATGATCAAGGTGGACCCCTTCAGTGCTTATCTTCACATTCCAATCTCCCCAGCATTCAGACTTTACCTTCAGTTTGTACATCAAGGTCAAGTTTATTAGATCCAAGCTCTTCCTTTTGGCTTGGCAATGACCATATATGTTTTTTGTCACTTATGGCTTGGGATTGAGACTCCACCATTATACAGATGACTGGCTTTTCTTTAGCTCTATCCTAACAAAACTTCTCTGTTCATATTCTTCTTCTTTAGTATGCAAATCTTCTAGGTTGGCTGGTTAAGCTGATGAAGTATCATCTTACACCCACCCTGTATCTGGTTCATTCAGGTGTGTTCTTCAGTTCCAATCTCGACAGGGCATAGCCTTCACTTCATTTTTGGGCCATGGAGAGTTTGGTTTTTGCAGCTATTATCCTTTTCCCCTCTTCCTGTGTGAGAGGTTTTCTCTTTTTTTGGGACTTGGGCTTCTGTGGAACCCCTTGTTCCCATGGGTCATGCTCATGTGCATCTTTTACAGTGGACTGTACATGATCACTGGAACCTCTCTTGGGATCCCTTGTTTTCCTTTTTCATTTTACCCCTTCCCTGTCCGATGATCTCACCTGGTGCCTCAACAGGACCAATATTACAGAAGATGCTCCTCTTCTTCCCTTGCATCTGGATCTTCATCTTTTTGCAGATGTTTCTATGGTGGGTTGGGGTGCTTGTCTCAACTTTTTTGAGATTTTGAGTCAATAGAACTAGGAACTCTTTTGGAGCTCTTAGTGGTTTTTTGGGCTTTGGAAAAAACCTGCAGTTATATCAGTTACACATATACTTTGAAATAAACAATTCACAAGATGGTTACACTTCAGGAGTAATACTTTTCTTTAAAATTTATATCACTGTTAAACATTTTAACTTACCATGTTTAAGTGCTGGATTATTAATCAATAAGCACACAAATTAAAAAGGTTATTTAACATACAGATCCTCTTACAGCAAGTAATTTAGGACTGACCTTCACAATTATATTTGTAATTCTAAGAAATCAAAGTTTAAACAATATACTTCTCTATTTACAAACAATAATAGTAAAATAAAAATATAGGAACTAGAAGTTAGTTAAATCTTTTAACAACAACAAAAATGAAAAATTACAATAAAGCTACTTTAATGCAAATCTGTCCATAATGTTAAATGTACGTTCTTTTTTTCGTTCTATTAGACTGATATATATGCAAGAGCTTACAAATCTTAAATTTTCACATAAGAGATAGAGATAACTATACACGTCCCATACATGAAATATTACTCATTAAATACTAAATACAAATCAAAATGTCTCATGAAATACTATGGAAGGTTGACTATAGTCTATAAGAATAATGTTTATGCTAATGTAGTGGCATTTTGGTACAGTTGACACCTGTGGTATCAGAGGCAACACAAGTAGTAGTACCTATATATTTGGCTCACAACTAATTCCTGGCCATTTAATTCTTTCGAAGCGGGTCGTGGGTGAAAGCCCATGTCATCTCATTTGTTGACTCGCATCCAAGATTTTATTGAACTACTATTTCATGAATTTATGTTTATAAGTTTGGTATCAAACTGTAGATTATAATTCATATTTTAGTACTGTACGTTAATCAATTTCTTAATTTAAAAGTAAATAATAAAAAAAAACACGGATAAAAATAGATTTGTGTGTGTCACATGGGATGTTGAATGCAGCACTGGTTCAAATTATGTAAAAGTATGTTATGTAAAAGTAATGCATATGTAATGGTAAAAAAATATTTCTCACTGTACTAGTTGTTATTATTAACATTTGTGTGTTAGAGATTAACGTATCTGTATGGAACTAAAATCCTCACATTGCAAGTCTATTGTTGTTTTATATGTATATACGTCACCATCACACAGTTTTTGTTTTATGATTATCAGAAGTTTGCTACCAGTTTAGCAGCTTTTCAGTAAAAATGTTTAAACATAGCTGGTACACACGTTGTACATAAAATATAGTTATTATGTATTTAATATTCAACACCACTGCTTTCTTTGTATATCATGAAATAATTATAAATACTTCAAGTATTTTTATTAAAACAATTTTAAGTGTAACTTGAAATCATAATAAGTAGATGTGCACCTCAGAATTAACAAAGTAACTGGTTTTGATTCTTCTAATAACTTGAAGTTAAATCTACTTTAAGAATACAGTTTATTATTGAGTACTATTCCTGATTTCATATTTATTAGTATAAATAATGATGTTTATATCAAGATAAAGCTTATTAAGGTGTTTCTACCTGCACTTTATTTTTTTAGAAAAGAAAACTGAAAGGAATACAAGATGAAGGGGAGAAAAAAAGTAAATGTATAAAATTAATGTCTTAATAAATGTTTAAAAGGGAAAATATACAAATCTTACTAATGTTTTTATCAGCAATTTGACAGTTTCAATATAGAACCACCTGCTTATTGAGTTCTTTTTCTAATATGATAACCTTGCTTTTCTCGACTTGTGCTGCACTGTTTCTGCACAATTTTCACTCTCCACTAGCTTCCACCTACCCTCATATGTTTATACATGGTATACCTGTACAGTAGCATGCAACAACCCTCCACCATCCTCTGAACTGTAGAATACTTTCATCACTTCTCGATTTGACATTCCAGTGTGCAGTCATGCTCTAATTTTGCTCTACATTTTTCATTTTCGGGTGCAATTTTCAATTAACTTTATTGTGTTTTGACAACTTGGTTTGTTGTCATTTCATTTATGCTTACTTAGTTGTTTATGAAATATTTTCTTTTTAATTTCTACATTATGAACTCTCACTTTGATGTCACTACAACTACTTCAGTCATAAATCAGGCCATTGCTGATCCACCTATTACTTTTGTGGCTTTGGTATCACATTTTCTGCTGAGGAGGTCTTGGCCATGGTACGTCGCAAATTGAAAACTCATGCGGCCCGCTATGTCTTCAGAAATGCAGCTGGATATACCATTCCTTTATGAATCAGATCAGGATAAAGATGAATTGGACAACCTGTTCCTACCTCCTTCCTTTGCAGTGCAATCCAATGCTACCCCTTCATCCACCTTTTTCAAAAATATTTCCCAGTTATGTTACCTTTTGTCAATTTTACCTGTGTTTTTTTATTCTTCCCCCTTCCCTCCTCCATTCTGCATCTTTGTTGGATTGTTTAGTGTCCCCCCTCCTTATAATCGAATACATGCTGATCAACTTTAGCCCAATTACGTTCAGATACCACTATGCCTTGTCCTCCACGTTTGTCTGATTCTTATGTTTTGGCTTATCATAGGTCGGATTTTCCATATTTGGCATCTGATTCAAGTGTGGGGATCACCTGACCTGGAGATTATAATTCAGATCTTCATCAGCCCTGTTTTTATATCTTTGGCTTACACTCACCACTGTTCTCCACTATCTTCCTCCATTCACCTCCTTTCTGAGCTCTCCACAGTTCCCCTGAGGAGTTTTAAGCAAATATTCATACCCTTATCTTTTTCACAATGGAACACTTATCTTCCTGAGCCTTATCCCTTCATACATGGTTTTTTGTTGTTGGGATCTTCTTGGCAGGGACACCATCTTGTCACACATGTATCTCTCTGCTTTCTATATAAGAGACCTCTCTTTCGTTCAATTTTTGCATCAGTCTGTACATGGAGATATTTCTGATACGTTGGAATCCATGGTTGAGGCCTCATGTCAACATTCTTCCCTTATTTCCTTAGTTTCCTGTCTTTCTAAACCTTCTCTTGTTTAAAATCCTGTGTCTTGCTCCTTCTTCCTCCCCTCTACCAATGCTGCCTTCCTAGTTTCAATGGCAAGCTTCCAAATTGCTCATTGCCATGTTTTCTGCCCCCCCCCCCTTATCCACTACTCCTATTTCCTTCCTGGATGTTAGGCTTCCAGGAGGCCTGATGTTGGTTGTGTACTGGGTCTGCACATGTGCCCTGTCAGAACAGAAGTTGATTTTCCTTTTTGATTGCTAGGCTTAAGGTGAAAATGGTTGGGATTCTTCTACTGCAGACTTGAAGAAAAATACCTGATGCTGCCTAGTTTTGGACTGGAGTTGACCCACCAAATACAGTCTAATGTGCCTTAGTCTCTCTACGTCATCTGGCATGTCCACTTACAGAGTGGATGTGCACCATTCTGCCAGATTTAATGACTCGTATCTTTACAATGGGTGAAGAGTATACCTGGTACAGATGGTCTCTCATGGGTGTGACCCTATACATTAAGGTATCACACTTCATGGGTTCTCTACAGTCACCTTCCAAAGAGTCCTAGGTAACCTTTGCACAGGTTCCTCTGCCATTTCAACATGGGATTCTAGCTATTATGTGAGAAGAGATAAGGTATCATATTGGAAGTTAACATTTTCCTACACTGTTCCTACTACCCATCCTCCTCACTCCTGGTGCATCCTTTTGCCTAATCTTGAAGTGATGAAAGTACAGTATAGAGGGAGTCAGCTGTGTTAGGAGGGTGTGTTGCACTCCTATTGGTAGAGGGTTGTCACATGCTGATTTGCATGTTACTGCACAATTATAATGTGTAAAATGTGAGGGTAGGTGGAAGTATCAAGGCTAGTAGTGAGCAAAAGTGCACATATAGAGGGCAGAACAAATCAAGAAAAGCTATTATGTGAGTGGAGGTAAGTATATATTGTAGGAAAATGATAACTTTTAATAATAAAAATATAGTGTGGTTGGTCATAATAAGCACTTTAAGTATGTGTGGAAGTAGCACATCACTTACAAGTATCTCAGAACAGTTACTTAACCCTATCATCCCGGGTATCCTTTACTGCACGTGACACAAGATTTTAGTGCCTTACATTCAAAAATACTTTTCTATTAAAGAGAAATGTAGATCATCTTTACTCTCACATACAAAAATTCAAACATTTTAGAAAAATAAATTTGTTACAGACTAACCATCTGCAGACCAACACTCGTTTTAAAAAGGCTTTTAAAGAAGTCTATGAAAACACATTTAATATCACACTTTTCAAGTCTAAAACAAAGGTTATTTAATGTGTCCCCTGTATGTGCCTGTGATAGTGCTCTAGACTCTAGAGGGAGACTTGCATGTGTCCATGGCAGCGAAAGAGTTAAGCACAGTTTTGCTCTACATCCAAAATTTGAGCTCACTTGTTGCCATTTATATATCCATACAGATTGTACGGTCAATGACCTCATATTAAAGTGAGTAAATACTATTTTGTTGTAATAGCCTTTTAACCAAAACATATATTTACTTTATATTGTAGTTTTAGAACTATTTAAAAACAGTTATCTGATATTAAGCTGAATGCTGCTTAGCTCTTCTGTATCAGGAGTTGTGAATGGTTATGGTACTAATTAAATGTAGCAAGATTGTACTCAAGTTTTTTATTGTCATGAGAGTCAAGCTCTATCAGGATGTTTAACGTGACTTGTAATGGCATACTGCTGTTGTAGTAACATATGGTTTCTTGGCTTTAGAACTTGGACATTGAAATTATTTTGGAGTTGACCAAAAGTCCCCCACCCCAAGAAAAAGAACAGGCACAGTACCACTTTTCTTGTCTATATCACAGACTTGAAACCAATATTTTAACCATAAGCTTAATTGTATGCCAACACAGCAGCTTCTGTTTCTAGCATATAAAAATTGTTGGTCTTATAAAACCTGATAAGAATCTTAAATGTTTGTCTTCAGCAAGTGAAGACAAGTAGAATATTTAATAACTTTCATAGAAAACTAGAACAAGATCTTTCTCTCTACTAGGTGAATGTGATTCACTCATCTGCTGAGTGCCAACAAGGAAAGAAAGAAAATTTTCAAAGAAGAAAAGTAGGTACAGTTTTCGTTTATGTAGGTTTACATTGTAAAAGTTTATGTAATTTCTACTTTTATTTATTGGAGATAACATTTTCACCATATGGTCACATATGTATTTACATTCAATTATTGCATATAATATGTTCCCATGTCATCACTTTCTTAGTATACTTGTGAATAAGACATTAATACTGGTGTAATAATACTATGAATCTGTATAAATGTTATTACCTGTACTTTGAAATACAGAATATGATGGAAGAATATATCTGTTAACCCTTTGACTGCAGCTGCTTTCTATGTGTGTGGAAGTTTTGAAGCCATACACTGTATACAGTACATTTGCATTCAACTGCTGGAGGTGGACTTTATCCTATACAACAAATCAGCAGTCAGTGGGTTAAGTGGCATTTGTAATAAAAAGTATTTTAGAAGATGTGTTAGGTTTCTTAGAGATGTATTCAATATTTCCTTAATCCTTTGCTCATGACTTGTAATAAATTTTCATGAGTGTTAAGCAATCCTGGCTGGAAATGAAACTTTTTTTTTAGGTTACTGTGCAATTTTTTTCTTCTAAGGACCAAAGTAAGAATTTATTTAATCTGTTAATTTAATGTTGGAAACAAACAGTATTCAAACACAAATGGACATTTCATAGCTACAGTATCTAGATGATATCTTTTGACTGTAGCATACAGATGTTCAGAAATCTTGTATCACAGATCTTTTCCATTCTTTCACATCTTAACAGGTAAAAGACAAAATATATATCATATGGATGCTACTCTTGTACAATCTATGTAAATGTACCATAATAATACTAACTCTTCTAACTATCCTGAGAACTGGTGATGGTGGTATGTCTGGAACACATTGGCTTTTTAAAACACATTTTTCTAAAGTACTTATGCATCAATGTGCATGTGAGTACAAGATTTAAATCGTTTTGAAGCTAGCTTTAGGTGAAGAAGGACTCAGTGCGGAGCCCAAAATGTTGTCACCAACAAACACAAAGCAGAAGCAACCTATAAAAACAACCTTCTTCATACGTCCAAGACTTAGTTGGTTAATACAGGATCCGTAATAACTATGACCCACAAAAAATGTTAACAAAAATACCATCAATATTGCAATTAATCCGATTATGCGATATAGCTCACCTCCTTTGTATTTTACATTTTTTCCTTGTTTCTTTACATTGAATGTTATAGTGAGTAAAAATGTAAAGTTACTCAATGTAATTCAATATTTGGATCCAACTGGTAGTAAATAGTATAAAAAAGAAGTTGGTAATTTGAGAATTAGATAATATTAAGAATTTTCTCAAAATGTTTTACTGTACAAGATCTTTTGTTTATTTATTTTCCAGTTTGAACTTTCCACTGATTATTAATTTTAGTATTATAATCCACATTCTTAAATGTTTGGATGCAGTTACTTTAGAAGTGAAAAGAATGTGTATTGATTTTTTTTTACATATATTCATGCAGTAATCTGAATTTCTGAATTTATCAATATACTGGTAATTATTTAATTTGTTTAACTGAGTTTTCTATATCTTAAATTATCCATTATACATTATATTCTGTAACATCTCTGATTAGTGCATCAAAAAAGAGAACTCTTAAAACAGCAGAAATATACAATGTAGTCTATGTTGTGTAATTATCTTTACCATCATAAGTTGTTAAGTGGTAATGTGTTCTGTTGGTTTTAGTACAGTGCTAACAAGTGGGCTATCTGCCTTGTGCCCATTATGGGACTCAAACCCAAGTTTTAGCCTTATAAATTCTGAAGCTCGTCTTAATGAATATTGCTTCTGATACATTTTTTCATTATCAGAACTAAAATTAATAAAGTTTTTGGGATGCATTGTTATTTACTCCTTTTTGAATGTGTATTCTTTTTAGTATTTTAGGTCTTTTATTTTTGTACAATGTAACTTCAGGATTACTGTGACTTGCTTACAAGTGTTATGACCTTTATATGGTTTCGTGAAATAATTATAATTAGTACAATTTTATTTGAATATTTAGAACAAATTCTTTTCACCACAGAGTTAATTTACTTCTAGTTCAACACCCAGTGTAGTAAAATGGGTACACATTATTAAAATTGAAATGGGTATTTGGAGTTATTGTGTTTATTTAGTTACATATTGATTTATTTATTTTAAACAAATATATCAGATTTGAGATCTTAAAATTTGAGTTCCATTATTAAGTTAGCTTTATTGTGACTAGAAAACAAAAGAAAAATTACCTCCAAAGCCAAAAGTGCTGAGTAAAAAGGAACAAGAAGCACAAAATTATAGGAGAATTAAAGAAGCTGAGTGGCTTCGTAAAGTGATTATGCAACACCAGCACCAACAGCAAGAAAAGGAAGAAAGAAGGCTACAGAAAGAAGCTGAGTCCCGACAAGAGTTGGAAGAGGCCAAATTGAATAATTTGCAAGATCAAGCAGCATTACTTATTACCAGCTCAAAGACTAGAAACACAGGTGATGGTTCATGGAATAGGAAGAAAAATCCTTCAAAGTCAGTAAAGGTAAAAAAAGCATCTACAATTGACATTATCTAAAATGTTTTATAAGCTGGAATTATTTGTATTTGAGGAACAAAATTACACCAGGGAAATGATGAACATACCTATGATGTTACTAGTAAAAAATTATTGCAGCAAGATTCTTTAACTCTCTCAACATGGGCATGGTCGATTTGACCGACCACGTGACCTCTTTGTACTCAGTTAAAAGTCTATAAATTTAATACTTCTAAATTTCAATATGGTATGTATATCTTCACAAAATTTAGCAGTTTTTCAGTTTATAAGTCTTTCGCATACAAAAAAATCATATTTTTAGGTAAGTGGTTTTAATAAAATAAAATAAAAGATTTGTCCATTGATATATTGAGTATTTGTTTTGAATAGTCCATGTGCAAAGTAATTTTCATGTTAAAATTAAAAATACTTTTTGCCATCTCAAAAATCTCAAATTTCCTTTGTGTAATCCTTAAAACCTCCTAAATGCATTTCAAACGTTTTTTTTCACTAAATACTTATAGTTTATATGTTATTTTCTCTACCCTAATCTCAAACATAATCGGTCAATTCAACCAACCTCATAACCACCCCAAAAAAATCGAAATAAAAATAAATTAACCTTCTTTTCGTTCTAGTATGACTTCAAATTGTTACATGAAACTACATTTGTGTATCCTAAGTAGCTCTAATTTCATAACATTATACATCTATTTATAATTAAATTTTATTGTTTTATTGCCCTTTGAACTGTGTCTAACTGCTATTTACACCATTATAAGTTGTAAATCACTCGGGGAACGTGCAGCTCATGTTACGCTATTGAATTACATTACCCACAAGCTGCTCGCATGTGTGCTTCGTGAACAATTTTAATTATATTATTATTATTACTTATTTTACCTATTCTAGTCTTAAATAATTTAAAAAGATCTTGAAAAACAGAAATAAATTACTTACCCAATCTTCTTTTTTCTTGCACTCGATT